ATTCCTACAATGGAAGAATGGATGGAAAAATGGTGGAACTGCCAAAGATGGCCAAATTAATCAAGGAAATGAATCTATCCAGCTTTGTTTCTACTTGAAAACTGCTTCCAGACCTTGGCTTGAAACAAAAAAAAAACCTGACTTGGGATTTTGATAATCAGATTAGTTTGTTGTAATAGAAACAAACAGTAGTTATTGATTATATGAAAGCAAAAAGTAAAAAGTTGAGACTGTAATTTTACTCTCTAATACACTATACTGAAAAAAATTGGAAATCTGTGCTTTCTTTGCTTATCTTCCCCTCAAATCATTTCCTCTTCCTCTTCCTTCATCATTTTCTTTGTCTTTATTGCCTATATTTCCATTTGTACTTTATAGTAAGATAAATTTGAGTAAAGTTTTTTATTGGAAAAAAAATAGAGTTGATTAGGAGAGGATTTTTTTTTCTTTTCATTTGTTTTTTACATTTTTACATTTACATTTTATTTTCATATGCTTTTACATAGTACCCAGTGAATATAGACATGGAAGTTACTATATTGTGTTATGAATTGATGTCTGCCTCAGCAACAATTCCTTTGTGATTTTTATATTATAAATTACTGAACAATCTCATCTATTTCAGAACTGTAAAATAAAATTATAATTAATAAATACTCAAATTATCTGTTCACTAATATATGAGAAGAATACTACAAGGCAAAAATAATAAGCAATTTATTCACGGTAAAATAAAATTTATGGGGAATATAACATGGGTAATATTTACAATCAGCAATACATGGAATGACATAACATGCAACTAGTCCCTCTGAAGAAAAAGGTTTCTGGTTAGTATATTTATCAGTGATGAACACACATATGAGGGGGGTATTGTGTTTGGACATTGGCATTTGTTCAATGGTGTGGTCCTCTTTGAATTGTCACTTATTATTTTTCTTTGTGTTAACCAGTATGAATCAAGCTGTAGCTTCACTATTTTAATTTAATGGTATTTTCATCTTTGATTTTTTACAGATGGGGCATTCATCTTAGTCCTAATTTAAATATCAAAATGGAGAATCAAACTATAGTGTCTTATTTTCTGCTCCTGGAATTCTCCAAAGCTCGGCATCTCCAGCTTTTGCATTTCTTCTTATTCTTCATATTATACCTGGCAACTGTAGCAACAAATCTTCTCATTATCTCTGCAGTAGCTTTTGACCATCGACTGCACAACCCCATGTATTTCTTTCTAGTGAATTTGGCTGTGCAGGATATGGGCATTGTTTCAGTCACTGTCCCCAAATCCATGATAAATTCTCTCATGAACACCAGATACATCTCTTATTTTGGTTGCTTTGCACAAGTATTGATCTTTGCCTCCATTGAAACTTCTGATTTCTTACTCCTGACAGTCATGGCATATGATCGGTATGTTGCCATTTGCCAACCTTTGCACTATGAGTTGGTGATGAATTGGAAAGCCTGCACCAAAATAGTGATTCTGATGTGGGTTATAAGTCTTATTTATGGAATGTTGCATACCGTTGGCACCTTTTCAACTCCTTTCTGTTCCAGTGTTATCAACCAGTTTTTCTGTGAAATCCCATATTTGCTAAAACTATCCTGCTTTGGGTTCAATTTAGTTGAAGTTGGATTCCTTGTGGCTGGTATAATCACTTTAGGATTAGGTTGCTTTATTTTTATCATTGTCTCCTACACAATGATCTTCAAGGCAGTTTGGAAAATCCCTTCTGTGAAAGGAAGGCAGAAGACCTTTTCCACGTGTCTTCCCCACCTTACGATCTTTTCAATGTTTTGGGTAACAATATGCTTGGCGCATCTGAAACTTCCCTCAAACACCAAATCTTACTTAGATTTCATACAAACTGCCCTTTACTCTTTACTTCCACCTCTGTTTAACCCAATCATCTATAGCATCAGAAACAAGAATATCAAATCTGCTGCGGCTAAATTATGGACTTTCTGATATTTGATAATATTTTATATCTTAATAACCCTACAAAAATTTGATACA